TCGACCCCTCCCCCCACTTTTTCCCCCCCGCCTCGGGCCGGGCCCCCTTCCACCTCCCCGCCCAACCCCCCCCCTTCCTCCTGCCAGAGTCTGCTCCCCCCTCTCCCCCAAGGACCAAGCCACCCTTCCCTCCTGCCTGACCACCCCCCACCGGACCTGGCCCCTTTCCGACCTCCCACCCGACCTCCCCTCCGAAGGGCCAGGCCGCACTCCCTTGCCTCTGCTGTGGCCAAGCCCTGGCGCTGAGCCTCTTGTCCCGCTCTCTTCCCTGCAGGAGGAGCCGCTGCAATCCTGCTCCGCTACCTCCGGGACCAGAATCGGCCACACAGCGCCCAGGACGCCTTCGGGAACCTGCAGCGGGAGCATGGGCTGGGCAAGACGGTGAGAGGCAGGCAGAGCTAGGCGCCTGCCCTGATGCACCTGCTATAGAGGCTCCCCAGTCTCCCCCACCCCCATGGCTTGGATGCTTGGAGCAAGGCCCCTGTGGCACCAAGGCGGGTCAGAGCCTTCCACCCAAGCAAGAAGCTGGTAGGGAGCGGGAGACTGTTAGTGACCCTGCCAGATGGGTGGGAGTTCACTCTGCCACTGCCTCCCTTCCCCAGAGATTGTCCCACAGCAGCGCGAGAAACCCCCAGCCTCTCACTAACCCATATTGCAGGCAGGTGGTGGGTGGCAGCGAGAGCCCCTTGGAGAGATGCACAGATGGTTGGCTGCGTGGGCAGATACCATATCTGTAGCTGTAACAACACACACAGCCCTTAAGGCCTGTCTAGTTCATCTCTTCCCTGCCCAGCTTAGTCCCCAGGGTAGCTTTCTGGTGCTCTGTCCAGTTCTCATGTGGACTCCTGTGCCTCTTTGCATCAGGCTGTGGTGAAAGCACTGGAGCAGCTGGCTCAACAAGGGAAAATAAGAGAGAAGGCTTATGGGAAACAGAAAATATACTTTCCAGACCAGGTGAGATGAATCAGTTCAATTTCCCTAGGAAACAAAAACAATGTTGAGTGAAAAACTAAACAGACCAGCCCCAACGAAAGCCTTTTGGCGAGGCACGGCCTTCCCTGCGGTCTTCGTTAACGTGCTGACAGCACTCTTGGTGCTGCATCAGGCACAGAGGAGACACTGTCAAGAAGCTTTTATTTACATAGTGGTTCAGCACAAAATGCACTAGGAGACTCCAGTATGTATGTTTATATGGGCACCTGCGGCTTTCCTCACACTTCAAAGCAACGTAAGCTGGTTTGCGTTTATTCCATTCAAATGCTTTGGTTCTTCTTTTTACTTTGGATTATTTGTTTAAAGAAACCCAGCACTCCGCTGTTCAATAACGTAAACCCTGCTGTTTCTGTAACATCCTAGACAATGTCACCAGTTTAGACTATAATGTAATAAATACGAACTTTTGTTAATATTAACAATGACCAAAGCTATGCCATTCTAGCCCATTTATCAGCACTCTTCCATCCCCTCATAACCAATGGAGATGATACCTTTAGGAGCACACTGTGTATGGCTGATCTCGAGAACTGCAGCAAGCTGTCATGGGAACAAATGTCTCTAAGATCTGTCAAAAATGGGTGGTGGTGACTGTCCAGGGAACATGTTTTCTGTAATTCATAATGCGTCCTCTTTCTTCTCTCTCAGGATCAGTTTCCCACAGTGAGTGACTCTGAGCTTAAAGCCTTGGACAACGAAATCTCGGAACTTTCTTCAAAAGTACAAACCCTTCAACAGAGCTGCCGCCATATGGAATCAGGTGTGTTTGAATGTCCACTTCTACTGCCAGGTTTATTTCAAAGTAGATTAGCTCTGAAGCTGAACCGGCATGGAGTGTGTGTGAGGCAGCGCAGTGTGGCACCAGCATGGAGCGTGTGTTTTGAGGCATCGCATTGCGGCGCCAGCATGGAGTGTAGCGTCATGCAGACATTAATGCTAGCTGTTGAGCTTTAGCTGTGGGCATCCCTGGGTAACTAGCGATTCCATTCCAGAACTGAAGGATCTGAATGGCTCAATGACAACCCCAGAGATGATTAAAGAGATTGAAGAGTTAAAAAAAGATTGTGCCAGTTACACAGAGAAACTGGAGCGAATTAAATCTGCAGCCAACCATGTGACTCCTGAAGAGAAAGAGAAGGTAAAGAGCTGGAAGGGGCTGTGCCACTGAACACAGCAGCTGAGAGCCCAGCTCAATGCTACTTGTCTTAACAAAATGCTGAATAAATTATCCTTCGAGGTAGACAGGGAATAGCTTGTCCCTTCTGGACGGGTCTTCTATTTCTGTAAGCAGGTGGTGTGTCTGAATGTGAGGATGAAAGGCACCTTAGAATGCTGACAGACGTTTCGAATCTGACATCAAACACTGAAGAATTGGAGTGGTTGTGGGAGAGGTTTGAAACTCTAGCACAAACTGTCCTCTCCTCAATTAACTTCCCAATGTTCCTGTTCATAGGCTAGGGCTGTGCTTTTGTGGCCTCATCTCTGAAGTCTGATCACGCTACCTGGGCATTACCTGCCAGGCATGCTGAAGTGCTGGTCAGCTTTAAGTATGGCTAACTCCAGCATGGAGCCAAACCCAGAGTCTGATGTCGTTGGAAATGTCCTGCTCCCTACTGTTCTCAGCAGATCCTTCACTGTGTGCCTCCTTAGGTTGTGTGTATCTAGAGGGGGCAGCTGTAAGTTCCTGAGTGACTCTTGCCTGCAGCCCTTTGCTCTGGGTTGTCATTTTGTTAATACAGAAATTCAACGTTTTAGCCTCTCAAATCATCCATTTTAAAAGGAGACCCACTTCCAAAGAGCTTATTTGTCAGACAGTTGCCTGCACTGTGTGATGGTCTTGAACATCTTGCTCTGGCCTGGCCTCCCCTCCTAGCAGTAGTTCCTTGGTTCACACTAGCGAGTGGTTGGGTTTCATGTTACTCACTCAGTCTTGTTGGTTGCAGGTTTACAACGAGAAAAAGCTGTACTGCAAAGAATGGAGGAGGAGGAAGAGAATGGTAGCCACCTTTATTATGAATACTGGGTAGATGGGCACCATTGGGTGGTGGCAATGATACCCGAGAGGCGACGTGGTGTTTCATTCAGGGAAAAAATGCTAGCGACTTAATGATTTATGGAGCAGCCCTGTGGGTCTGTGCTCGCTGAGCATCTTGCTTCCATAGCCGGCTGCCAAGCCAGCCAAGAACCTCTGTAGCACACTCCGCTTACGCTAGTCTTGAAGTGGCGATGCCTGGGCCCTTCTGGTGTCACCCAGGAGGAGGAACCACAAGGCCACTTCTCCCCACTCTAATGCTGCTGTTCTCCAGCTTCCATCCCATAGTTTCTAGTGCTGGGAGAGCAGCCATCCTGGCAGGGTGACCTCTTCCTGGGCTCTGATTTCTGCTTTCCAATGTATGGACATAGCAAGACAAGCTCCCAACCATCCTCTCTGGCTTGCCAGTGGCAGCTCCCTCTGTCACTCACCAGTCCTCTTGTTTGGGGGTTTACAGTCTAATCGTGATGCCAAACTGCCACTTTCAATGGACCAGTGGGTGACTATCACTTACAGCCCTGAAATATAGGGGTGAAAGGAGCCCCACAGCTGTCTGGTAGGGGCCATTAGCCTCTCCTTTGTGTGTAATGGCTAACTGGGAGGAGACCTGACTTCAGCAGCCTGGGGAGTGGCCTCTGTTGAGGGGGGGTGCAAGGCAGGCCTGCACCCTAGGAAGCCTCACTGCTTGTGACCACGGGGGCTAATGCTTTGGCCTTTGCTAAGCTGTGTACTTAAGGCTTGTCCCACTGGTGAGCTTGCCCAGGTTTCACTTACTGTGTCTGTTTCCTGAAGAAACAAAGCTAAATATTCTTTCAAATTATTTTGCCTTACCAGGCGACTGAGCTCCTTGATGCGATTCTGGAGGGCTACCCCAAAAGCAAGAAACAGTTCTTTGTAAGTACGGCCATATCCACCTGCCTTTGACTAACCCAAATCCGCAGTTCTTCTGCTGCAAGTGTAACCCTCAGCAAGTCCCACAGTGCTGGAAAGGGCCCTGTTTCTCTGTGCTGTACAGCCCGCTTAACTCTCCTCTGTGCTCTTGGTAAAGAGGCTGCATTGTTCTTGTGCAGGAGGAAGTTGGGATAGAGACGGATGAGGATTACAATGTCACTTTGCCGGTGGCTGTCTGAGTTGCTGACAGGAGCCACTGCTCCAGGGGAGAAAATTGGCCAGTCTGGAACCCAACAGAAGCCGCTTCTGAAACTTGCACTGTTTGTAGGGCTTGGTTTTGTCCTGAGTCTTTTATGTATGTTTATGTTTTAAAATGCTTTGCAGTCAGGAGGGTGGCTAGAGGGGTTGAGGCAGCTCCAGGCCCCATCATATTCTCATTTGCAGTGGAGTCCCGTTTTTATTATCCTTTGTTGCAATGAGCAGTTGGGATGGTGCCTCTCCACTGGGCTAGGGGTGTGTTGGATTGCCAACAAGTAGGTGAGTTTGTTCTAGCAAAGGGAGGAAAGGAGCGTCTAGGAGAGGGGAAAGAAACTAGTTGTTTAACTGTGTAGGGATGTACTAGCATCTCAGTGTATTTAATAGAGAGGGTGGGAAACGCTTCCCCCAGCATCTACCATGCCGTAATGCTGTATACAGGAGTGTGATTCATTAAACACCACTGTGTCTCATCTTAGCCCTGCTGCTTCCATAATTATTTCTCACCCTGCATGTCCTGGCCGTAGCAAGACTGGCTTCCCGCCTGCTCTCTGGAGTCTTGGCCGCTTTGCTCACACAAAAGGGAGCTTGTTTGCATTCCAGTCTGGTTTAACTACGGCTTTGAGACCAGTCGGAGTCAGGCACCCAGATAACGGGGGGGTTGAGCAGCGGGGGAGGGCCGTTCCCATACAGCTGCCATAACACTGGCTAAGGGGTCAAGCCGGGCATCCTGAAATCACTAGTCACGTCTGAAAAATTGGCCCTTGCCTCATCACCTCTCCTAGCAAACCCAATGATTGTGTCAGAAATAAACAAACTGAGGGGGACAATCCTTAAAATGCTTAGCAAAAATTTATTATAATTACTTTTCATGATAGAAAAATATTTCATTTCCACCTGAGTGAGGTCTGTAAAAAGCAATGTCCTTTGAGAAATACACATGCCACTTATTAGTAACCAGCACAGGCTATTGGTTCTGCAAACAGGTGCTTTCCTTACAGCAAAGCAACACCTTACAAGAGTTACATGCCTGTGCTTGAGTACGGGCCTAGCCGTAGCTTCCCCTGTTGTGTGCAATTCACTTCAGCAGTTGGACGTGTCACTGCAAACAAACTCTTGAACTTCCATGGGGCTGTATGCTGCATTTGGACCGACAGGGACACTCAATGCAAGCTTTGTAGAAGTGCTTTGTTTTATAAAATCCAAGACCAACAAGAATATTTCCTTGATTAAATGGAAACATTATGCCCCTGCTTCAGTGTTTGAAAGGCAGACAGCCAGCACCCAGAAACTACCGTACCCCAACTGAAAGACATGCACAACAGCCATTAACATGGGATTTGTAGAGGTGTGGTAGGAACACAATTGAAAATCGACAAATACTGTTGTAAGAGTGTCACTTTGCTGGGGTAATTCCAATAGTGTCACCTTGTTTGAGTAGTAAAATGCCATTGCTGCTTTAGCAGGCAGCTGCTGTTAATAGACCTGTAGGGCTACAGGGAAAGAAACAGGGTGTCACTGATTGAAATTGTCCCAGACAAGCAGCTGTCTGCAAAACGTAAACTGGTAACACCTTAGTGTGATTTTTTTTTTCAATGCATTATAAAAATCAAGGCTTTATTATATATAAAACTGTCGTTCTAAACAAGAGCAGACGTCTACTCAGAATTCACAGCAGCTCTGTGCTACACTAGTCTACTTTCCCACACAGTGTGACTTCATCAGAAAGTGCCCAGTCATATAAAGCCCGACAGAGATCAGCCTCTGTGCCGATAAAGCTGGAGAAAGCTGCACTCATGTTTAATTGTTTAGGAAACACGGCTAGAGTCGAAAAGGCCAAGTCAGCAGCTGGCTCAAGTGAAGGCCGAGGCCATGATCATCTGCACAAGAGGGAGAGTCCCTTCACCAGTGGGATTAAGTGCCTCTCCTTGTGGCAGCGAGGGGCCAACCCACCAGCTTCCTTTGCATGGCCTTTTGGAAAGTCATTCTGCACCAGTAAAGCAAGCAGCCTTCCATCCCCAGGCAGAACTAGATGATCGGGATTGAGGCACATAGGAATTGCTAGTCCAGAACCCATCTCGACAGTAACTAGAACCAGCTGCTTCAGAGGAAGGTGCAAGAATGGGAGAACCTGTGCCAAGGGAAGCTTCTTCCTAACGCCCTTTTGTGGAGGACAGTTTGTTGCCTGGTGCAGGAGGGTTCATAGCCCAGCCAAAGTCTTTAATCCTAATGTGGCAACTAGCTCTGGGGGGGAGAGGTCGTCCTGCATTGCCCCATGGAAAGGTGCCTGGGTAGCTGCAATGTCAGCAAGTGCTTACCTGGAAACCAAAGAGCCTGTGCTCCATCTGTTCTCCAGCTCACGCCCAGGCTCTGTGGTTTTCAGGGCATGCATCCCACCAGGCAGTAGATGTGCAGTGCTAAGATGATGCCATTCCCCCCCTCAGGGAGCAGGACAATCTGACTGCTACAAAGCAGATCCCTCCCACCAGCTGAGCTACTGCCACTCTTGCAAAGAGTCAGGGGCTCAGGCGAGGTCCGTTCACTGCCATGCCAGTTTGGGTGAGAGCCCCTCCTGCCTTCCTTTGGGGCAACGAGAAGTGTATTTAATCCACATCTAAACTCCCTTCTCTGCTGACTGAGTCCCTACACAGCCTCTAGTGCTACAGACTGCGACAGGGTCTGTGGAGAGGTACGTACAGCCCAGTTTGGGTTTTTGGTCAATACAATAAATATTCCAGAGAGAAGCTTTAAGAACAACCCCGAGGGAAACAGACCAGCCCTTCCTGGAGTCTGTTTCCCTGCTGGGCAGCACCCCACAGCACTGGGGATGATGAGCGCAGGCCCGTGCTGCTGGGGCACGGGAGGGAGAGAGTCAATAGAGCTGATTCTTCAGCTGATGCAGAACCCCCAGCACGATGTCCCGCAGAGTCTGAGGAGAACAAGGAAGAGGCAGGATCAGTCACTCTGCGGGATGAAGAAACATTCACCTTGGCAATGCCTCTGTGGGTTCCAGAACAGGCCCGGGAACTCCTTACAGAGGGGAATAAGTGTGTAGAAAGGCAGCTGGATAACAGTTGCGTCAGCCACGCACAGTGGTGTTTATGGGAACAAACCTGAGGGCGGGGGGTATATGGCTTCAGTACCTCAGTATTACTGGGAGTACAGGCCCTGCCAGCTTGGATCAGACCAAGGGTCAGTCCTGGCCAGCAGAACCAGCTGCTTTAGCGAGAGAGCCTAGGGCAAGGAGTGGTATGACTCAGGGAAGGTTCTCCTTAGCCCCCATCAGCTAGAGCCTCATCTATGCTCTGAAGCAGGAGGGTTTCTATCCCTCTCAAAGCTCGTGTTTGCTGGTCTCATGCTGGGGCTCTTGTTCGCCAGCTAAGTGCATCAGGGTCTCTCTCTGCTGAGAAAAGAACCCCACAGCAGCAAGTTTCAGAGCCTGGGTCAGGTAACTCGGGCTTGCAGAGCTTGCGCTCTGGGGCTCAAAATAGCAGAGTAGATGTCCCCACTCAGGCTAGAGCCTGGACTCTGAAACACTCCCCTCTGCAGGTTTGCAGAGCCTGGGCTCTGAGCCTCGCTGCTGCAGGGGGTTTTGCAGTGTAGATGTACCCTTGGGTTTGCCTGATCTCCTGTGGCAGACAGCACTACCCTGCCAGCTGCATGTCGGGGGAAAGTTTCTCCCTCTATTCATTTTGAATTTGCCACTTTCAATTTCACACACGGTCCCTTTGCTCATTATGAGACAGGGAGAACAGAAGTTCTCCATCTCCCTCCTCAGCACCAGGCACTATTTTGCATCTCTTTATCATGTCCCCTGTTCTGCCTCTGGTAGACAGTCCCAGGCTTTCTGTGCCCCTAGTCGTTCTCGTCACTTGTCTCTGAACTGTCTACTTGTGCTTTGTCCTCTTTGAGATGGGGTGACGGGAACCGCATTCACTATCTCCATCCTGGTCTTTAAACCTCCTATCGTGCTTGGATTGCTGCCAGGTGCTGAACTGGCCCTGGCGCTGGTTAATTAGAGCTCAGTAAGGTGTCGGAATAGTTCAAGCCGTTCCCTCCAACGTGCATTGCTTTGCATTTGTATCTACTGTAGCTATCTGGCCCTATGCAGGCGCCTGCCCTGTGTTACTATGTGTGGCTCCTAGTTCTTACCTGTGGTTTACAATGCTCTTCAATCCAGCTGAAGACACAGGCTGAAAGTTCCTGAAAACTTGTTACCGAGATGGAGGCATTAAAGGACTGGAACAGTGAATCCATGATGCCTTGGAAAACATTAAACTTGACTTGGTCAGAGACCTGGTCTTTCCCCTCATTTGGATTATCCTGATGAGCTTTCACAATCTGCTCATAGTTTCTGAAACAAACCAAAGAAACCTGGATAAAACGGCAGGCTTGGGAAGCCGGCTCTGGCCTCAGACACTTTCCAAAGCTCTGTTTGATCTGTGAGAGAGACCAAAGATGTGCCGCGGAGTTTGCTTGTTTGTGTTAACTTTGCTTGTTAGGACCATAAGGCAACTCTCAGACTGGTTGTATGGTTAAGGTAGCAGGCTCTGGGCTTAAATTCCTCAAATTAAAAACCCTTGCTCAGCCCATGCCCCTTGCACTGTACTGGGATCTGTGTCAGATACAAACCACTCTGGGATGGAATTGCACAGGACAGAGGGGGAGAAAAAGGTGAGTATGGTTGTGTCTGCTGCAGTATGTGTAACACAGGGTGTCTGTCTCCCAGGCCCCTCGGGGTGGGAGATGTGTGACAAGTTGCTCCTTACACTTTCATGATCTTCAAAGCTGTGACATCTTTCCTGAGTGTAGAAACTTCCTCCTCCTGCTTCTTCTTCTCCTTATGGAGGAACTGAATGTAGTCAATGGCTGAAAAGCAAAGGGAGGACGAGGATTTAGGACGCTCGAGACAGGTCACAGTGATGCCGCTCAGCAGGGGACAGGTCGAGCAGACACTGGGGCACCTGCAGGATTGATTCATGGCCCTAGATTTCATCCCCACAGGCCTCATGCATCCAAACTGACCAGGAGCCAGGCTCCCCTGTGCCTCCTCTCCTCAGAGGGTCTCAGTGCTTCACAACCGGCTCCTGGGAGGGGCAGCGAGGTGCTCTAGATCATATGCTAGCAGTGGCCAAGCTGGGAGGCATCTCAGCCTCCTAAGCCCTAGACAGTCTTCCACCCTCAACCTAAGTGATTTTGATGCCTGTGAGCTGCAAGAAGTGGCTGACTGGAGGGTACGGGGGCTGGGCACCTGTAACAGTGTGCCTCCCTTGCACTCTAGGCTGATTGCACAAGTGTTACCCTCAGCAAGAGACCAGGGCAGTGTTAACCTGCAGAGCCAGCTGGGAGGGAGCAGACAACTCAGTGAGGCCTGGAACAAGGCACCTGCTGTTTTAGTTTTGAATGTCTGCAGGGAGGGTTTAACAGCTCAGAGGACTTTCCCCATCGAACCCCCATGAACGAGGTGGCTCCAATTCT